ACCATTAATGTGACACCAACATTCATGTTTTCAAAATGCATGACCCTTTACCCTTAACTAGTGTTATTAATGACTAAAACAAACACAGGAAAACCAGAGACTCTTGCCTTAAAAGCAGAATACTCATGCTGATAAATAATCCCCAAAGGATATTTTTATAATCATCGGTCTCCAACATTCTCTTTAAGGCATCTAATATCCTGTTTAACACCATCTACTTCTGAGAACCACCAGCATTGAGTAACCCCTTCCTTTCAAAAGTGGCAACTCAACCAGACGGATGACTCAAAAAAAATAAATAAATAAAAAATAAAAATCAAACTCTCTGCATGTCAATCTCTCCAGGGTTTTCTGCTTGAGGAAAATAAGGTCAGAAGCAGGGTCAGATGGGCCTTGCAAACCAGGCAATATTTATAAATCGACCCCACTGCCCTTCCACTGCGATCCTTCCCAGTACCATCAGAACAGGAGAGCTATGCTGACCTCGAGTAAAGAGAATCAGGACTCCATCTACAGCGCAAACCTGTGGGCTTCTGGGACAAGCGCCACAAAGTGGTTCTTTCCAAACTGGGGCACATAAATGGCTCTTTCCATGCCCAGGAAGAAATACATCATTCTGTTGAAGGGAAAAGAAAACCTTCATCTTTTGATCACTCCCTTTTATATATTCATTAGTACTTTACTAAGAACACATGTTCTGTACTATATTGACTGAAATTATAATGATTAGTGTTTCTGACAGCTACTTTACAAGCAAAAAATATGTATTACTAATAAAAGAACGCTTTCTTGCTATCCTTTGCTTAATCATCCAAATTGTCCCCTTCTCCCCTTGACACTCAAGATAACCAAGGTAAAAGCGAACTGTCATTTGGAAAAAAAAAAACAAAACGGTTTTGAGACTGCCAAGGTTTTGCCAATGTAGCTATCATACCTATACCATCACTTGATGCCATTAGCCTAGAAAGTACACACGCTTTCCTGAGGCTAAATCAGTACCATGAGAAAGATCCCCAAGGGATCAAATGAACAGTTTGACAGCAAGGTTAGGTTTTAAAGACTTTTAACATATACTATTTAGCAAAATACTTGCTAAATAAAACAGTAAATACCATGAAAGGATCCTAGTCTAAACCAAGGAGTCAGGACAATCATAAAAACAACTGTAATGGAGCAAATGTCACAAGAGACATCACTGAATAAAACACTCAGTAACTAGTGTACTTGATCATACTTTGGGAGTTCTGTGAGACTACAGATTGAGATATACCCAAGGTTTGCGAAACAAAGGGGCATCTAAGCTACAGGGTTTGGTATAACTGACCTTCCACACTGTCTCTCCTAACATGCTTGCTTCATTTACTGTCAGCAAAGAAAACTACAGAATGGACTCAAATGCTAAGTGAGGCTGCTCTAATGAAAGGGGGTGCTTCAGGATAAGTTTATATTACATACCATATGTCAAGATTTATCAATAATGGAAATACCAGGATATATAAACTCACATCTGTCAGCCAGAGAAATCGGGATGATTAAGAGCTACAGAAATAAGTGGACCTGCAGAGGGAGATTTGTTCTGAGCTTAGTGTTAGCCCATTAAGTAAAAAGTAAATATTACTGGTCATGGCCCAAGACAGGAGAACAAGCATGAATTTCTCAGCCCTTTGCATTCTGAGGTAACATGAGGCTCTGGCTAAGCCAGCTGGAAAACCTAAGGGCATCAGCAACGGACAACCATCGGGAATCAAATGACCTACATGGACAGACAGACAGACAGGCAAGCCTGGAGAAGGCAGCCTTGGGATTTGATCAAAGGTGTAGCTGAAGAAGTGTGGACTGTCTGGACTTGTGGTAAAAGTTGGTTAACTGTCTAACAAACATGCTAAAGGAAAAATTAGGTCACAGAAAAATACAGCATCTATCTCAATGTGTGCAAACAAAATTAAGAAATAACTACCACTGGGTGTGGTACACACCTTTAATCTAGCACTTGGAAGGCAAAAGCAAGTGGATTGGATCTCTGAGTTCAAGGCTAGCCTGGTCTATAGTTAGTTCCAGGACAGCCAGGGCTACACAGAGAAATCTTGTCTCGAAAAAGTAAAACAAACAAACAAAGAAATAACTATCCCTGCTAAGCGGGGTGGTACACACCTTAATCAGTGCGCTAGAGGCAAAGGCTGGCAGATCTCTGTGAGTTCAAGGCTTTCCTGATCTACATAGTGAATTCCTGGCTGGTAAGGGTTTAAATAGTGAGGCCCAGGCTGCTGGTTAATGTTGGCTGTCAACCTGACTGTGTTTGGAATTAACTAGAACCCAAGCATCTGGGCACACTTGAGGGATCTTTCTTGATTGGATTATTCGAGCTAGGAAGGCCCAACCAAATCTGGATCATTTCAGATCTAGGCCACACCTCCTGGTGGCAGCCAGCAAAAGAACACTGAGGAAGGGAGGGAGCATTCGCTTTTCCCTTGCTCGACCTCGTTCTCACCAGTGGGCGAGTGCATCCATCCTGTTCCTGGGCCATCCTTTCTCTGGTGTTAGAACATATTGTTTGGGATTCCAATGTAGACTGAAAACTGGCAGCTATCTAGGGCTTTCCTGGGACTCCAGCACCAAACTGAGATAAGGAAAATCCCAAAAAGCACTATCTGCTTTTACTATATATATATCAGGCAGACTTAAAAATCATATAGTGGAATCATTATGTTATACTTTAGAAGCTCAATTAAAACTTATGAAGTCCCCAAAGCAGGGATTACAGTGTCTTAGGTGTCTTCAAGGAGAAAGAGAATTGGTGACATTAAGGCAGGAAGGCATAGCCTGAGAGACAACCTCCAAGCGGCCTGTTAACAAGCCCAGGCATAACTAAGAGAGTTGCACGATCCTACAGCCCCGGCCTCTCCTGGCCAGAGGCTCTCTTAAGTTACAATGCACAAACGCATGCATTGCAGCTATAACAGAATACCAAGTGGTCCCTGAAGCCGTAATTACCTTAATTATGTACAACTTACAAAGCAGCAATATAAACAAAAACATATTTGTAAACTCCATATAGAGATTGTTTATGCATGTGAAGCCCTGCAGAAGAAAAATAGTGCATTACAGTTCACTTAAATAAAGCCAGTCTCTACCCCAACAGACTGGATGGCTTAGGCATAGCAGCCTTGTGCAATCCATATGCATACAGACTTGCCATAAAACCTGGAAGCTCTGGTCTCTTAAGAACAAATGAAAAGGAAAAAAAGATCACAGAAATGTGATTTAAGTACAAGTCTATCAGTCTCCAAGAGTTTCAAAACAAAACAGCAACAAAAACAGAAAGAAAATGCCAGCACAGATATTTATTTGTTTAACAGCTCCATAAAAAGAATTGGAGGGGATGAAATGCTCTCTGAAATACTGAAATAGGCTGAAATACTCTCTGGAAGTAGGCAAGGTAATCATAAGTGGGTAAGTCACATGCTATATGCCATTATATCTACCTAGATAAAGACATATAGATATAAATATAAGGATTTTGAAAAAAATCCCCAATTGTGCCATAGAATCAGCTGAGTATCAACCACTCATCTGAGTATGTATGAGAAGTGTGTGTTAGTGATGGTCAAGTTGTAAACAACTATGAAGAAAGCATTAAACACTGCACACTGCTCACATGGTCATGCACAAAGCCCATGTCTGTGTACGGGACATCCTCCAACCTGCTTCACAGCAGTCCTGACAGACCTACAAAATCCGCTCCCAAACCAAGACTGTGGGATCCAAGGACACCTGCCTTCCTGTGACTCAACTTCAGTTGCAAACACTTGGCCAACGCTGTGTCTGGAACAGGCACATGCCATCCACATTCCACACGCTCACCACACTGTAACTGCTTTTAAAAAAGCCTCTAACACAAACACAGAACCCACTGCCTTTCTCATTCCTACAAAAAACAAGAACTACCCAACTCATGGTCCAATGCAACTCAACAACAACAAGAGACTGTTTGGGAAGACTCATACCCTCCCCTCACAGAAACCAAACCTATACAAAGTAGGGTTTCACGGTCCTGCACAGCAGACTCAAAGGCAATGTGTGCCCTCTAGCCATTACACACCTTCTTCAAGGGTACACAGCCAAGTTAAGTGGGCATGGCATGTACATAGCCTGTCATGGTCTACATCCATGACCAATGCTCCTTCTCCAATATTGAAAAAGAACATAATGAATTTGACTTAGTGCAAGCAAAGTTACAGTTGAGGTTAAAAACAGGGCTCTCCCAAACTCAGGTTTTAAACAAACAGTAACAGAAATTTAACAGCAACAATAATGCTTGAGGTCAAAATATGGTAACAGGAAAATAAACGGGAAGACAGTTTTACAGGTTCACTCTTTTAGTTAATACAGGCATCCTCATTCTAGGGTAAACTGAGTCCAGATGGACTGTTCACGGGCATCCCCACAGTGCAGCCCTGCACTGAAGCCACTGCTGGCATCGTGTACAGCCCTTACCACAGGAGCGCTGGTGCAAACGCTGCACGCACGCACGCACGCACGAGCCGCCTGGCCAAATTTCAACCACATTACTTTCTTTGGGGGAAACTTCTCTGTACAGAGTCCCAGGAATAATTCAAACGATTGACATCACTGTGTCTTTCGCAAAGTAGGAATGTCTCTATGTTTCAACTCTTGCGTTGACACCTTTGCTCTGTATCACTCCCAAAATTCAACAAGCTGAAAGACGCTCAATAACGCAACAGAAATTCCTTTGTGCTCACGGAGCGAGTCAGTCAGCGAGACCTTCCAAAGGTGGGCGTCTCAACTGCCCGAGATGCTGCAAACAAAACAGACTTAACCAGAACCGCGCGGCTTTCTCAAGAAAGGAGCCGCAAAGTTAATAATTCTCAAATAAAACCGAAGCCTAGACGCTTCTCTCCTGTAATATAAAATAGAGCAGACAAAAACAACCCTTGTTGTCAAACTTATTACGTTTTCCAATCAGTACAGTAATGTCTTACTGGTAAACTCGATGGTCTTTCCTGTTGGATTAAATTCAAGTCTTCGTGGTTGGATTTTCCAGGGGCCAGAGGAGGCTGAGATCTAGTTCCATAGCCTTCCTGAGACATGTCCTAAATAAACACAAACATACAGTCCTCATCAGTATCTCTGAGCGTCGAGCTTCATATTGTAAACAAAAAGAAACAAAAGCTGATCATGATTAAATATTAAGTGATGTTACATTTCGGCCAACATTCATTTAACACTTTATTAAAGCAGAGCAGCAGTGAGTCAATGACAGAAAGGAATTCAAACAGGAGACTACACAGACGGAGGCGAGCTGGCGGGCAGAGGGGAGCTGCCACCCAGCAGAGCGGACCCCAGCCGAGAGCTCACTGGACTGCTACATCCCAAAATGGGCTATACTGCTTAGTTACTCCTCGGGCAGGAGGGTGTGGGGACCCTGGCACTCCTAGCCCAGGCTGGCCTTGAACTGTGACGACCTTCCCACCTCCGCTTCCCAAGGGTTGGAATTACAGGGGTGGGCCGCCACACTTGTAGAGCTGAACTATGATTTTGGTCAAATGCTATTTCAATTTTAAAAAATAATTAATGAAAATATTTTCTTAAAATGCCGTCCTAAACATAGAATGGTATGAGTTTCTAGAAAACCAGTAAACACCCAGGTCCTGCAGCCCACAAGCCCATGTGGCATAGTTTAAAACAAACAAACAAACAAACAAACAAACATATTAAAGAACAACAACAAAAAATGTGGGGAACAAAACACACCCCAAAACACCTGTCAAGAGCCGAGAAACCCAGCATTTCCCGGGGCCTTTTCTAGAGTGCAGGTTCGGTATTCTGCTGAAATAGCATACAATCCAAATGCTACCCCACCCCACAGCCCCTGCCTAGCAGATGCTGGCTATTTAATACACTGCTCAGCTTTTCTCCACCGCTACCGCACTGACACTTGAGACAGAGTCCCAGAGGCTAAGGGCCTATTACATAGCTTCTCACTTGGCTCTGAAAGCTGAAGAACCAGTTTCGAAAGTAAAAAGAATGGAAAGTACTGCCTTCCAATAAGATTTTCTCCCCTTCTCTGTCAGTTCAAATAGGCATGAAAGAACCATATACAAATTCTATTTTTATTAAATATTACATGGACAAATAATGTTTATTCGTAAAATCCCCTAAAACTCGTCTGCTTGCCCCACCCCATGCAAATACAGAACACACTGCAAATTCCTTGGCTTCTTAAGCCAAGAAAGAGCTGAGTACTGGAAAGTCCATGAGCCTCACAAACTGGATCTCACCAGCCAGCACCAGCCAAGGGTCAGTGTAAACTGCCTTTAAACTGGCTCTAAAATAAAGGCACATGCCTGAGAACAGCATTCCACAGTCTCTCTTAGAGGCCCTTGGTCTCTAAGGGTGACGTAAGATGCCACCCTTCGGGACTGATTCTGCTGCAGCTGCCCGGGTTGACTTGGGAGTCACACCATGACAAGATGGGAGAGAGACCTGCAACCGAATCACCATGCAACCATGGCAGCCACGGCTCTGCAATCTGGTTGCCTGCAGAGGGCGGCACTTTGGCTTGTGGGGGTTGAGCATGAGCTGGAGGATTATTACCACCCTATCTCCCACCCCTGAAACCAAGCTTCCCACAAATGGAGGTTTCTACTTGTCACAGAGATGCCCTCCTGGGCATCCCACAGTTCTCTGAGATTAACAGCCAGGATTTCAAATCAAGTGGGTGCACAAGGCCTCCTTTGGAGGCCTTCAGCCTGCTACGGAGAAAGCACAGAGGTGCAGACCGGCTGGCCTCACAGCGGCCAAGGAGATGAGCAGGCCTGCTTCTCCACAGCACGCTTGCACGAGGTCTGGGAACCCACCCTTCTCCAAGCAGCCTTAATGCCGCTAGCTTCTCTCTACTGCAAAACAAACTGCTGCTTAGAGGGCTTGGAGAAGGTTACCACAGCGGGCACACACTGCAGCTCACAGTGCCCTACAGAGGGCTTGGAGAGGGTAACCACAGCGGGCACACAATGCAGCCAGACAGTGCCCCTAAAACAAGCAGCAAGAAGACCACAGCTGAACATGATCAGAAAATGCTATGGCCTCGCAATTCACTCTTGAGGCTTTACTTGTTCAAAGTCATTAGATTCCACGGAAATTTTAAGCACTATTTCTAACCACAGAAACTTTCATTTATTAAATACAGTTGGAAATATTTCATGTGAATGGGAGAATGGCTGGAGAGAGCTTGCTCTGCCTTGGGTGGGATTTGAGTGTGAGGACGGAACTGTAGGAGCCGGGGGAGGGTAGGAGTTCTAGCCTGTAGCAGCCACCCCCTCAAGACCATGTGCAGAGGGACTGAACTGTCTATAACAGAGAAGCTGGGTTTGGAATCCCAGGTTCTGGAAACTGAGGCAGGAGGACCAGGAGTTCGAAATCAGACAGGCCTACACAGCAAGGCACCACACATCCCATAACTCACTTGAGCTATTACTATTATTATGACTATTCTTTAGCATGGCTTGTTTTCACTCCAAGTAACTAAACATATACTTCTATAAGCAATAAAAAGACACTGTCAGTACCAGAAAAATAAATTTAGCATTGTATTTTTTTTTTAAAGCACAGATTTCTATTTGAAAACATCATTGCCATCTCTGGTTATTTATAAACTTAAGCCAGGATACACATATGAGCACTCATTAAATTTATCTGTCCATCATACAAAAAGTCAATACTTGAAAACACCACCATATCGTGACAATCCCCCAGTACACAAGAACCTAGCACTGGGGTGTGGTTCACCACCTCTGAATGCACCCACATCTCACCTACAGACGTAACGACAGGCTCTAGTCTGACCCATTTCAATTATGAATCAAGAGTCATGGGAAACTGCCACACAGGGTACAAAGGGCATGGACAGGGCTAGTGCACATGCTCAGAAACTTTCTCTGAGGCGTCTGGGAAATGGAGTCCACACCGACTGAACGCCTGTGACGGATCACTCCCTTTGTTGGGTACACAGCCACACTACAGCACGAAGCAAGGTCACCTGGAACAGAGCAGGGCCCCAGTGACCTTAAGTGTGAATGAAAAGCTGCACTAAGGATCCAGGGCAAAGGTCAAGTGCACAAGGCACTTGTTATTTAGCGCTGGGAAAGAGAAAGAGGTGGAGGAGAGGGCAGAGAACAGAAGGGACTTCCATGATGTGAGGTCAAAAGATGCAGAGAAACAGTGAAGAGGAAGAGCGTGTCCTTCCTAGGCTCCCTTCCTCCACAGGGGGTACTAAGCTATTTTTAAAAAGTAACCCATCTGTCCTCAGTTTTCCAATGAGTTCAATCACAAGGGAGCGTTTCCATCCATCTCCCTTTAGACACTGCTGGAGAAGGCTTTCTGCACATGAACTGGTTCAGCCCCTTCAGTCTCTCACTGTACAGGTGTGTCCACACAGCATAGCACTAACTGTAGACACCCTCCTCACGAAGCCACTCCCCTACTGACGGGCATTCATGCTGCTTCCGTTCCTTCTTGTCTTCATACAGCGTTACAGTAAGCAACTTCAAGCATGTGTATTTCATGAGAAATATCCAAGGATCACTATTCTCTGCCCGTGTGATATGATGAACACGGACAGATACTAGCAAAGTACTCTTTTTTTTTTTTTAAATTTCATGTGCATTGGTGTTTTGCCATGGATGTCGGGTCCCTTGGAACTGGAATTACACACAGTTATGAGCTGCCCTGTGGTGCTGGGAATTGAACCCGGGTCCTCTGGAAGAGTGTCCCTGCCATCTCTCCAGCCCCGGAAAAGTACTCATAACAAAGGAAGAGTGAGGCAGGGCGGTGGTGGCGCACACCTTTAATCCCAGCACTTGGGAGGCAGAGCTAGGCGGATCTCTGTGAGTTCGAGGCCAGCCTGGGCTACCAAGTGAGTTCCAGGAAAGGTGCAAAGCTACATAGAGAAACCCTGTCTCGGGGAAAAAAAAAAAAAAAAAAGGAAGAGCCGATTCACACCCCAGTCCATCACTATGGAACAATACAAACCAGATGCTCAAGCTCCCATCACAATATCTAACTCAATATAAAAAGCAGCCAAGTTAGAGTGAAAGAGGTGTGGGTACACCGCTCCACCCCACACCACCGAAAGAAAGAAAACATATAGACCACAGACCAAAGGGAATGAGATGAGTGAGGTGGAGGCAAACACAGTCACGGCAAACTCGACAGGAGACGGATGAGGACACACTCAGAGGGCAGCCAGCCTGCAGGCTTCACACCCCAATAGAGAGCAGGCATGAAAACAGAGCAACCAGGGTGGTTGGGGATGTAGCATAACGGTACAATGCTTGTCTAGAATGCACAAGTATGTGGGTTTGACCCCCAGTGAGTACAGGCTCACATACACACACGTGTACACACACACACACACACACACACACACACACACACACGATAGGGGTCCCCTGTTTCTTTAACATTCTGGGCACAGGAAGAATGTCTGAGAGGCTTCATAAAGGCCAGTGTTACCCTGGTCAGGATCTTTTGGTGCCTCTGTCTCCCCACTCTGGAAACATCTACCTTCAGATAAACCAATCTCATTGTCACCGGGGTGGGGGAGACACTCCACAGACCACCTCACACTGCAGGTTCTGCGAGATGAGCCCAATGAGAAGAAACTGAATGTGTCTCTAGATAAGGAAATTGAAGGGATCCTTTCCCAGAGGGCACGTGGGCTGGGACAGTCACCACCTTGCCACCTCAGGGACACCTACAGGAGACACCAGCAATGGGAGCTGACAAGCCCAACAAGGGGCTGTGCAACAGCCTCCATCCACAGGCCAGCTCCTTCAGTGCCCTTGCTCCTGCCTACCACGCAGCAAGACTTGCAGGATTTGCTTGTTTGTGTGCAGTCATGTGCTGTGGTCTCAAGAGTGATGGGCTCTTGATATGTATACCTGTTTGCAGACAACAGGAAGCTTTAAGTTAAAACCATTGTATACTGAATGATTTAATATAATTTTCACTTTTTAAGTTATAGTCTCCTAAATTTGTTTCTTTATAAGCTTCAAGGCTATATACTGACCACTTCCAAAATACTTATTCCAGT